TGATTTTTGACCAAAAGCTTTGCCACAATCTTTACATTTGTAGGGCTTCTCTCCAGTGTGAGTTCTCCTGTGGCGAATAAGGTTTGATYTTTGACCAAAAGCGTTTCCACATTCTTTACATTTGTAGGGCTTCTCTCCATTGTGTGTTCCTCTGTGGTAAATAAAACCTTTTTTTTTACTAAAAGCTTTGCAACATTCTTTATATTCGTAGGGCTTCTCTCCAGTATAAATTCTCTGGTGATTAACAAGGACTGATTTTTTATATGATTTATGTTGTTCACTCTCACTTGTAGTTTTCCATATTTTCTTTTGTGGTAAATAGTCAAGATCACAACTTTCATATTTTGCACTTATCACTTCAGGTAATATGTGTTTTAGGCCCTTTTTTAGTGAATATTCTTGGATATGATTAGGAGTCATGGCCAGGAAAGCCAAGTTTCTATAGTTCTCTAGCATCACATCTCTATATAAATTTTTCTGAGCAGGCTGAAGGCATTCCCACTCCTCTTCAGTAAAATCAATGGCTATATCCATAAATGTTAACAGTTCCATTTCCTGGCTCTCAGGGTTCTCAGCGTTCTCCCTGTGGTTTGTTTTCAGATTCTGCATAGCACAGACACTTGGGCTCCGGATCCAGGACAGAAGCCTACAAAAAGCACAAAAATCATTTTCTAAAGCTCCGAAAGCATTCATGATGGTCTAAGTACAGGGTGTATGGGGATAGGCTACTATTGSTTGTGAGGTTGAAGTGATAGTAGAATCAGATACTGGAAAGCCCAAGTATACCCAGACTAGGACCATGGGCTTCTTCCCTGAGGTAATAGAAAGTCTCTGACAGATTTAGTAAAGCAAGAAGATAACAGGTAAAAAAAAAAAAAATGGTTTAAAAACAGCTGGGGTCAGATGTGGTGGTGCATGCCTATAATTCCAGCAATTCAGGAGGATGAGGCAGGAGGACTGCAAGTTCAAAGCCAGCCTCAGCATCTAAGCAAGGCCCTTAGCAAATCTGTGTGACCCTGTCTCTAAACAAAAACTTTAAACAAGGGCTGGGAATGTGGCCCAGTGCTTAAGAAACCCTGGGTTCAATCCCTGGTACCAAAAAAAACAAAACAGTGAGCTGGGTGRCAATGTTGAGGATAAATTAGAAGAGACAGGATTTGAATGTGAGATTATCACAATATTCCCGAGAGAAATTTATAAAATGTAATGTTTTAAACTTAGGAATCAAATGGATATAAGCTTTGAGACACGGTACTAGGTGCTTTCCTTACGTTATTTTTTTTAAATCATCACTTCAAAGTTTATTGTTCTCATTTGATAGATGAGAAAATGAGGACTGATCCAAATAAACTTGGTTCTAGGTCAGACAATTGGCTGGTAGGAAAACTAGAATTTTAATGTTGGGCTCTACAACTCAAAGCTTGTGCATGTACATTTTGTACTATCTGTGGTGTCAACCAATATACAACCAAAAGAATTTATATAAGAAATATATAAGTTTGGCTATACTAAATACTTCTTTTCAACAGMACTTTTAGCCTTGATGGAGGATAAAAATCTGTATTATTCCTCAAATAGTTTTAGCATTGATTGAGATGCTCAATTATATGGACTAAAAAAGCATTAACCTGGAAGTGTTTTTTAAAAAATAGCTTTTAAAAAATTATTTTAGTTGTAGTTGGACACAATACATTTATTTTATTTATTTATTATTTATTTTTTTTTAATGTGGTGCTGAGGGATGAACCCAGTGCCTCACACGTGCTAGGTGAGCACTCTACCACTGAGTCACAACTCCATCCCTAAAAAATAGCTTTCTTAATAGAGGTGATTCTTTGTGACAAATAAGATTGGGCTTATAAATAGTTACTATATTCTCCTATAAACTATAACATTTTTAATACAAGGTTACATGAATATACTGACTCACATAATATGTAATTAGAGGCTATGAACCAAAGGGATATATTTGATCTTTAAAATTGCCAAATTAAAATTCTTTCTATATGCTACAAAGAATATAAAACTTTGATATAAATTTTAAATAYGCAAATTAATTTTGGATACTAAAATATATTGATTTTCTAAAATATGCTCTGGCTATAACAGAGATATGATGGGGACAGGTAGTTTTACCTTGTATGTTTGTGTCAAAAATAACTGAGACAACCCAAATCCTGAAAAGGTGGACCTCATGGAAAATGGTCTTCTGCCACCACTCCCCTCTCCAATCACTCTGAACCTTGGTGTTTGTATGGTCTTAAAGGTGTGTTTATACTATCTGACTGCTTCTAGATGAATAACATCTAAATGACAGAGAATAATGACCATTTCTGTCCTAAAGTGTCTTTGAGAAAAATACCCACAAAGGTTATAAGCTGAACTGTTACTTGGGTGTCTGTACTAAAAACAACTTTGCTGAGATTGGAAAATCTCATCAGGTATGATGGCTTGAAGAAAGGTAACTGAGGGAGAACTTTTGACAACACTAACGTCTTATTTAAAATCTTTAAACATTTCCATAACCCCTATTCATAGGTAAATTCATTTATCCAACAAGAATTTTCATTTTACAMCTCTAATGTTTCATGCTTTACTTCATATAAAAACAAAAATCATACATGTCTTTGAAACAAGGTTTTCTATTTTAAACTCAATCTCCATTTTAAAAAGTTTAGTCAGAGAAACAGCTAACAGAAAAGATACAAAAGTAATCTGACAACTGGGTTATTTGGCAAAAAAAAAAAAAAATGAGTATTTATCTGTTTTGTCCTTGATTTCAAATGGATAAACAAATATRGTTCCTCAGTAAAAACCACCCAAGTATAATCTCGAAACTCTTTGAATTATTAAAAAAAAAAAAATAGCCAAGGGAATGAGTTCTAAAACTCAGTTCCAACACATATTAGAATTTGAAAAAATACTGGTAACTAGTTCTTCTTCAGAGACAAAGTTAAATTTGTGATATGGAAGAGAAATGGTTTCATTCATCAATTATTAGAGAATTTTGCAAGGGAAATTGTAAAAAGAAACAAATACAACTGATCTTTTTTCACTTCATATTTAATAATCTGCTCTGGAAATAAACTTACTTTATTCTTTTATTATATGAACCATGAAAATAAGGACTATAAAATCCTGAATAAATGGCTAGAAAAGCTTTTCTCTCCTGATAGGACAGTAAAATATCTTTACATAAACATCACTTAAGCTAACTATAGGCACACATGGCATCACCAAAACACCCCATTTTATTCTTTTTTACTTTTCCTAACCTTAATATCTCAGTGAAACCTACTAGTATATTATTCTGGGAATCGTTGAGTTGATTCTTTTTTATTTGTGGGCTCTGGCAGGTTATAATCATACCTGACAAAGACAAGATTCTCATCACAATTTAAACATTATGAAATGTCGGGGCTGGGGGGAACAAAAGAAGAAAAYGGTTGTTACAGCACTGAGGTCCAGTGTACACCTAGAACAAACAACAGTTCAGAAATTGCTGAGATCAACCTTCACCTGAAATGCCTTAAAGGTCTCTACAAATAGCCAAGATTTCCTCGGCATGCCTTGACACCAGCTACACTGACAAGCAAATGCTGAATGAACTTAAGATAATTTAAGATAATTTCACAGGCAACTGGTTAAGAGCACAGGCTCTGGACCCAGACCACCTGGCTTTGAAATATACCAGCTGATATTTTTTAGTATCACATAAGGTAAAATATGATCATGGGATACTACTATATGTAAAGTGCTAATAATAGCGCTTAGGAAACACTACATGTATTAGCTCTAAAATTTTAGTTTGTAATAATGTCTTGCTATCGTGGGTGAGTGGCAAGACCAGGTTTTGATTATACAGTGTAATATTATGTTTAATATCTAGTAGGTCTGCTGCAGAAGGGGAATAGAAGGGTCCTGATGCTCTTAAAAGTTCAGATTTGTCTTAGCCCCCTGTGTAACAGCATAATGATGCCTGGCAAGCTCTAGTGACTTCTCAATCAAAAGATCCAGAAAACCAGTAGAAAGAAAGGTCAAAGGAGAAATAAATGTAGTGGGGGAAAGAAGTTGGAAACAGATATGATCTGGGCTGAGCATCTGGGCAGGACTATTACCTCACAATCATGGGGGTCTCTTCCTTATTTGGGGTGTAATTAAAGCACAATTACACCCCAGAGCAGTGAACACTATCATGTAGTCTACCTTAGATCTATAAAGCAATGAGTAAGTATGAATGGGTTATTTGCCAGGCATGCTAGAGGGATGGKTATTACCTCCCGTTGATCCTACTCCTTTCTTCTTACCTATTTCTCCAATTTGGAGTRGGAATGACTACGCTAAGTTAGCCCCACAGTTGTTGATTCATCTAGCATAAGACAGAACATTGCAATATCTCCTATATAACTGCACCCCTTTACCTCTTAAACTATCCTCTCTCCACATCCCTTTTCCATATCCTTCCCAGGGTCTAGTAACAACTCTTCTACTTTCCACTTCTAGGAAATCAATTTTTAGCTTTCACATATGAGAACATGGGGTAGTTGTCTTTCTGTGCCTGACTTATTCTACTTAACATAATGCCCTTTTGCTCCTTCCATGTTGTTGCAAATGACAGAATTTCATTCTTTTTTTCACAACTGAATGATATTCTACTGTGGGAGGGGGAGGGAGAGAGAGAAAGAAACATTTTTTGAAAGACTTAGAAATGGCAACAGGCATAGGTAAAAACGTTTAGCATCACTAATAATCAGGGAAATATAAACTTAAGACACTGATATCACCCTATACCTATTAGAATGGCTTTTTAAGAAAGAATTGGTTGTAATTGGACACAAAATGTCTATTTTTATGWGGTGCTGAGGATCGAACCCAGTGCCTCACACATGTGAGGCAGGCGCTCTACCAATGAGCTAAAACCCCAGCCCTAGAATGGCTTTTATTATAAAAAAAAAAAAAACAATAAATGTTGATAAGGAGATAGGGAAAAGAAAACCCTTGTATACTGTAGGTGGGAGAGCATATTAGTATAGCCACTATAGAAAACAGTRTGAAGGTTCTTTGAAAAACTAGAAATAGAACTCTCCTATGATCCAAAAATCCCACTATTTATAGCCAAAGAAATGAAATCAGTATGTGCCGTGACACGCAACTGTCATTCAGGGTCACTCCAGGTGAATTTGGGTTGGCACAAAATAACCACACTGAGACACAGGAAATAGCTTTTTCTTGGGATTCCTCTGCTCCAGCTCCCACAAGGGAGGCAGAAAAAAGAGGAGGATGACATTCTGAAGCCCCTTTCATTTTTTATACCTGTATTTTATTTATTATCACGTGGTGCTGAGGATTGAACCCAGGGCCTTCACATGTGCTAGACAAGCACTGTACCGCTGAGCCACAACCCCAGTCCCTCTGAAGCCCCTTTTTATTGAGGGGAAGACACTCAAGAAAGTTCCATCCCAATGAGGAGGGTCAGGTTTCAGGGGGGTTGAGTCTAGCTTCCTGATGTCTTGTGGTCAGGAGACTGACTGACATCTTGGAAGGACACACCCATCTCAGGTGCTGTGTGGGGATCACAGGCAGAGTGGTCAAAAAGCATAGGTCGCCAGCCCAAACAGAGAGGCAACAACAGTCCAGTCCACTCATGTACTTATGCTCATAGTTCATACACACACAGCTCATGGGTGGCTTGC